AAATGGCATCGAGGGCCGTGTTGCACCCGTGTTTGATGATTTTGAACTTTATGGTTCTATTGTGTGTTATTTAGTGTCCAATTGATTTTTTTAAGGGTTATTCTGGATATTTAGCATTTCTAAGTGGTTGTTTTATGTCTCATTTCAGTTACGTTTCATGTCTTTACTGTTACTCTGCGTCACTTTTTGATCATTTTTTTGTGTCAGTTTAGTGATTTAGTGTCTCTTAGTTGTACTTTACGTCTCTGCTCGCCAACATAAAACTGCCTCCTCGGTTCTCTACGGTATTCATCAGTGTGAGGCTCCATCTGGTGGCGCAATCAGGTACTACAGCTGATCTACAACACTGGAGGTGTGTATTATCAACTACAATGTGTTTGCAGGTGAACACATCGTACAAATGCAGATCTCAGAATTATTAGTAGCGCACAATCTACAGATAGGAGAAATTAGATGTTTAACGGGGCTACAGTTGGTACTCATTTCATAATAATATCTTCCTCTTTAAAGTACTTCTACAGATCCACCCGCTGCTCCGTCATAAAATCCATCTGAGTTTTTGTTTTAAATGTTTCATAACTTCCTACTTGTCGATGCAGATCTTCTCCACCTGAGGAACCAGGACCTGCAGCAGCCGCATGATGGTCTGCAGCGGAAGTTTGGTTTTCCACGACGACACCTGAGAACAGGTAGAAGACGGAGGAGTCACGTGACAGAAACCAGCAGAGGACGGAAGGAGTTCGGCAGCAGAGGAACTCGTCCTCACCCAGTCTGGATTAGCGCTGAAGGCCGCCGTCGACGAGACGCTGGACAGTCGACTCCTCGCCGCCTCCGGCTCCGTGTGGTCGACCTGAAGAAGGAACAAAACGCTGTAACTGCAGAAACTAACGCCTGAAGTCTCTCTGGGTGATGAAGCTTTACCTCGTGGTCTCTCTCGGAGTTGGACTCGGTGTCGCTGGCTGCAGCTCGGATGTTCCTGTCTGACGGAGGATCTAAACGTGGAACGGCGACCATCGTACCGTCGACGCTCACCTGAGCCTTCTCCGTGATCTTATCGATTCCTGCAACACACACGACAACATCTTAAAGGAAAGAAGTTCACTGTGGACGCCTTTAGCAATGTAGGCTTTAAAGGAACAGTTCCACATTTTGTGTTGTGTTTCTTTGTTCGATCGATAAGAAAAAACCCAGACTGAAAGACCAGCTGTACATCTCACAGATGTTTTGTGTCTCTTTTGGTCCTTTCCGTTCGTTATGGTTTTGTTGCACAGCTTCATGATCGCTTTTGTGTCATTTCATTTGTTTTGCACTTTTTTCTGGTCATTTTGATTATTTTCAGTCTCTGTACGGTTGTTCAGACTCATTTAGACTATTTTGTAAATGTTTTTTTGTGTCTTGTTTTAGTCATTTTGTTTTATTTGCAGATCATTATAGCATTTTGTGTGTTTTTGATTAGCTTGCATCATTTTGCTCATTTTTTTTGGTCTCGTTTTAGTCATTTTGGTTATTTTGCACGTCTTTGTGGTAATTTTTGTCTCACTTTGGTTGTTTTGTGTCACATTTTGTCAATCTGTGTGTCATTCTGGTTGTTTTCATCTCATACTGGTCAACTTTGTTTATTTCCTTATAGTTTTATTGACTTTGTCATTGGTCTTTTAATTTAGTCATTTTTCATGTCTCTGTGTTTGTCTACGGTTTAATCTTGGTCATTTAGGACGTCTTTGTAATCAGTATATGTCCTTATGGTGGTTTTGTGTCTCTGTTTAGTTTTGCATCTCTTTATGGTCATTTTGTTTCTCAGTTGGATCATTAGTGAGTCTTTGTTGTC